TATTTTACATAATTCATTCTTTTAATGTAATGATTTGCAGGTTATAAAACAATAATGCAAAAAGAACTATAGATTAACTATTGATTTTCACAAGTTTTTGTGTTTTAAATATGTAGGATTCTACTAAAGATAATGAGTTGATTGATGTTGCAAATACACCTGCCAAGATACGTATAACTAATCCGGCAGCAGTGGTTGAGGAAGATTCAAGTGCACAATTATCAGGAAATAAGATCAAGAGAGTATTTAAAAAGAAGAAGACAACATAATTAAAGTTGTTTGCATTTGTAACAGCTGGAGAAACCAAGAAATATTCAAGTTTTTGTGTTTTAAATATGTAGGATTCTACTAAAGATAATGAGTTGATTGATGTTGCAAATACACCTGCCAAGATACGTATAACTAATCCGGCAGCAGTGGTTGAGGAAGATTCAAGTGCACAATTATCAGGAAATAAGATCAAGAGAGTATTTAAAAAGAAGAAGACAACATAATTAAAGTTGTTTGCATTTGTAACAGTTGGAGAAACCAAGAAATATGTGTTTATTTAGTTTATTAGTTTTATTAGTTATGAACAAAATATTTGAATCATTTCATGTTTTCCCTAGTATTGCACTTTTCCTGTTTGTAGTATATGGTATTTTCATTTGTTATGGACAAGATGTTACTGTAGTAAGACCAAGTTAGAATGGTATTACTATAGTTTATATACATATGCTAATTCTCTGCTTTATTTTTATGGTAGTTGCTACATGAACATGCAAAAAACATTCTTCTGAGGCAAATGTTTCTGCCGATGTGTATATTGATTGAGATTTTGTATCATTGTTTTATTATCCCTGCAACTATGGGCGATGTGTATGCACTTGAAGTGAATTTTAGGAAATCTACTTTAGCTTTTGCTTCTTATAGTTATCCAACCTTCTCTACTAATCGTGTTTTAGTGCATAAATATTGGTGGTCCCTCATAGACAATCCTATGAAATTCATATATCTGTTTTTTGATTTAATTCTTTAGAATGTGATCGCTAAATTTAGTCCGAAATAAAGACATATTTGTACTATATTATTTTTTCCTTTGAAACAATCCGCGCATCGCGCGGGTACGTATACTAGTAACACTCAAAAAAAATAAATTCTCCTTTGTTTTGATGTTCTCTGAGTCGGTCCGGTCAGACCACAGACATACCTTTACAAATTTGCCCTTAAACACAGTGTTTATTTAGTCGTCAGCTCATCTATCTATCTTATCTGTATCTATATCTATCTATATCTATCTATATAAAAGCACGAATAATTTATACTAAATATTGAACGACAAAAATATCCTTAAAATATTGATCGACTTTTATGACCTTTAATATTTGTATAATTTAAGGCTATAATTGTAAATCACCTAAAGCAAAGCACGAATAATTTATACTAAATGTTGAACAACAAAAATATATTGATCGACTTTTATGACCTTTAATATTTTGTATAATTTAAGGCTAGACTTGTAAATCACCTAAAGCTGAATTTCTTTTCTATTTAAATTACACCTACACCGAGCTTACAAAATCGATCGTACAAAGTCGCTTTTGGGTCAAATCTCCTCACCGCCAACTTCTTCTTCGTAGCCTACTGATATTATACCACAAATATAACTTTCTTCCGTTTTGTAGTTTACAAATAATTAATATACTTATGATATTCCATAAATTAAAGACTATAATCATTATTCTTGTTGGACCGCTTATTTTCATAATGGAACAATAGAGCCTTACAAATCATTGTAGTGAAGAATTTTCCTAATTTCTTGGATTGCACTATTTTTAAAGTATTATCTTCCGTAATTAGTAGAATTACTTATTTTTTTTTAGGAATTACTGCATTAGTTCTTCTGTAATTAGAAAATAGTTTTGGTATTTTAACTTCGTTTTCAGGCTTGGTTCTTTGGAGTGCAGGACTGTTGCCATAATGAATTGGAGAAGATCACTAATAATTTTTGTGAAGAGAATTTCATCCAGAAAATTTAATATACAGGACAAATATTTATACATGATGGCGAAGGAGTGCTGGAGGTTCTATTGTCTAAACATATAGTTAATGTTGAGTATCCATAAATATTTTATGTGAGTAAATTCTATTTTACTGATTCATTCCCTCGTGTGGTTAATTATGTCACTAAGTTTGTGAGATTGCAATAAAGGATGAAATTGTATTACTTGAAAGGTCATAAGATAAGAAAAATTCTTTAATAAAGCACTTTAACGTCGGATGTAATCATAATACTTAAATTAACACACAGTATCTAGGATGTTCGAACCAATCAAAAAATTGGAAGCGAAAATATTTTTTATTAGATGAGGAGACAAAATACCCAAAAAAAATCTTTTGATAAGGACGACATACCATAGTTAATAGGACTTATACTAGATGAGGAGACGAATATATTTTTTGACATGGAATGTGACCCTGGATTGTGTTTTATTAATATAGTATAGCAATTGATTAAAGTAACAAAATTTGTCAAACTTCCCCAAAATTATTATTAGTTCTCTATTATAGTTTTAAAGGTTGGCGTACAACTTGAAACTACATGTTAGGCAGGATTTTTTCCATGTTAATTATTCACATGTTAATATAAGGATCGTTAGATTTGTAATAATTAGTTTTCTTTTTCAGTCCTTTATATTTTTTTGATTAAATATAAGAAAAATCAATCGCAATATATCGGATAAAATATGTTGTCATATGAACTCTAACACACTTTCTTATTCTACTAGATCTCCGTTTTTTTTTTTATAATTAAACTATATGTTTACAGTTAACTTGATCTCTTTCTATTTCAAAAAACTACACAATATAGTCGCTCCTAAAAATAATAGCCGACAAAATACATAATATTCTTGAAATATTGATCGACTTTTATGTCCTTAATATTTCAATAATTTAAGGATGTAATTGTAAAATACCAATGATGAAATTGTTTTTCGATTTAAATTACACATATAACAATCCTACAGAGTTGATTGCGTATAATTCTTTGCGGATTTAATTGTTTTGGACATATCAAACTAACCCTTGACTTACACGGTTCACAAGCAAGGAATCTTTCTTATTCATTCGCTTGCTAATAGAAATTTTGTAGTTTGAGATAAACATTTGTAGATAAATTGCAAGGGCAATAATAATGACATATTCAAAAACAAAAGTTCCTTCATATTGTTAAAGACACAACATGAAGCAAGTTTCATGGTTCAATCTATTAGGTCTTCTCATATGCACAAACGTCTTACTTGTCTATTTTTACGATATAACTAAAAAAATGGTGATAAGAAAATAAATTAGCTATAAGTAGCATTTTTAGTATTATAAGGTATATGGGATAAACACTTTTCTGATAAACAAGTATATCTACATATTTTATTCTAATTATTAGGCACATCTATTGCTATACGTGCGAGGCACGTACATAAAGACTAGTCTATCTATCTATATCTATATTATTATAAAAGCACGAATAATTTATGCTAAATGTTGAACGACTAAAATATCCCCGAAACATTGTGTAGGCATATGAATTTTATTGAAATTAAATTCATAAAATAATTTGGATTATATTTTAAATTCAAGATATATTAGTCCAAATAAATACTATGGGCTAATATAATTGAATTAATTATATAAATCCAATATATATGGATTAAATAAATCTTAATTCATTGAGCTAGCCCACTTAATTGGGCTAAAGTGATGAGCCCACTTCATTAAGCCCAAGATGACATCTTCCTAGAGGCCCAGTTTGGTGCCACGTGTCAAATGACGTGGCGCGCCAAGTCAAGCGGAAGAGCCAATAGGATCATGCCACGTGTCAAAATGACAAGGCATGCCCAGTCACACTGAAAGGCCAATGAAATCGTGCCACGTGTGCAAGTGACATGTTCTGGCCAATCAAATGCGGCCATGTCACACTTCAATTTGATTGGTCGGAAAGAGTTTGTTCTTATCATGACTCCTCCCTTCCACAACTATAAATAGGGGTCTTCATAACTCAGAAAAGACACCAGAAGTTATAACAAGAAGCAAGAGAGAGCTCGTGGATCAAACGCCGCAAATTTCTCTACAAGTTT